GTGTGTTGTCTTAACACTCCGTCATCTTTTTAAAGGATGTTTGTTGTCTTAACACTCCGTCATCTTTTTAAAGGATGTTTGTTGTCTTAACACTCCGTCATCTTTTTAAAGGATGTTTGTTGTCTTAACACTCCGTCATCTTTTTAAAGGATGTTTGTTGTCTTAACAATCTGTCATCTTTTTAAAGGATGTTGCCTATTGTACTTATACTTTCAATAAGATGTCACATAAAAAAATTAGCTAAGAAAAACACATCAACTGGAGTTAGAGGGGGAGAAGTTAATTGGATTGTATAGTGGTTGGATGAGAGAAAGCAAATGGTTATTGTTGATGGAGTCCAATCAGATTGGGCACTTGTTACAAGTAGAGTACTTCAGAAGTTAGTTTTTGTACCCTTTGCTATTCCTTACTTACATATACAATATTGATAGAGCTTAATTAATACCTTATTAAAATTTATTGATGAAATCAAACTCTGGAGCATTTCTACACGTAGAACTAATTTAAGGATGTCGAGGTACTACAGTGACGTGGATCAATAGGGAAGTTTAATAAATATTTAGCGAATGACCTTTGAGTAAGTGAAAAGTAATGAATTTTGGAATTCAATTTTTTTATCACACATTTAATATGTGTAAAGTTAATAGAACTTTATGGTGTATGTACATACTGATTACAAGTCAAAAGAGGCAACTATCTTTATGAAAATCAATAGTTAGGCTACACTTGGAATATGGTGTACAGATTTGTTTTCCTTATCTATGAAATAATCATGATCATATACACTTACAGAAAAGAGCTACTAAGATGATTGCTTGCAGGGAAGTTATTTTCTCTTGTGAAATGAGGGGTAAAAGGTGATCATATTGTAGTTTACAAGATTATCCAGGGGTTGGATAGGATAAAGAACTCTGACTACTTTGTGTTATTTTTTAAAAACAACAGGACAAAGGCTTAATATTTGGAAAATACAGGATAGGCTCAAGTTATATATATTTATACAATAATTGTGGACTTACTGAACAAGTTGCCATCAAAAGTGGTGGAGGTCAACATATTACAGGAATTTAAGACAATTGATGATTTCCTGAAAAGTAAAGGGTGAATTTAAGTATTATTTTTCTCAATGGTAGATGTGCAAAGACAGCCCTGAATAACCAACTAGTCTTTTGTTATCCATAGGATATATTATGTTAAACTTGTGTTCTCTTCAGAATATAGCTCAAAGAAATCAGACTTTTATCCTACTGCTCCCTCAGATAATCTTGTAAACTTCAATAAAATCTATGTTACCCTTCTTTTCTCTAGAGAAAAATATCTTAACCTATTCCTATAACATAACTCTTCTACTCCTGGAATTATTCTAGTAATAAATTTTGAGTTCCAACTACTTCATTTTCTGCAAAAAGATATCTAAGTAAATGTTTAGAAAATGATTAAACTTCTAGTAATTTCTTAACCTGAAAAAAAAACAAAAAACTATTACTGAATGAGCTATCATGCAAAAGCTTTTAAAGCAAAGTCATAGAACAGCTATGAACAGGCCTAACAGGTCTTATTCTTACATATGTAACAAAAGCAAAAATTTAAAACATGTACAACCACCTACAGCACTCAAGTAGTAAGTAAAATTACAGATGTAAAACAAGTTTCTGGGCTGTAGTGTTACTTGCTTTGGTTTAATGCTCAAAAGACCTTAATTATTTTTTAACATTGCAGAAACCAATGTTTTGCAGGACTTTTCGATCTATTTATTTAAAAAAAAAAAGAAAAATTAAGGTGCAATATTCAATTACCACAGTTGTTTACATTATAGTTAACAGTACATTTTTTCTTCTGTAGCAAACTACAGTATAGACATTTTATCAAAGTACTACATATAATTATACACTTACTCTAAATGTATATGCTCTTAGAAATTGTAGGGTAGTATGTGAAAACTATACAAACTATACACATTAATCAAATAGTACATAGGTTCAAATTATAATAACACTACAATGTATTTGTATGGGTTTAAGGTATAATTATGAAATCTAATTTCTGCATTATTCCACACATTTTACAGACATTTTTAAGAACTAGATCACACAGTATGAATTTACAAGGTTAAAGTGAATACCTTATAAGTCTAAACTATTTAAAATCAAATACATCTATTAAATAAAAAATGCAACACTTTAGTAAATCACCTCAAAATTATCTATTCATACTTTAAGATTACTTTTTTAAATCAAAAGCCTGTGTAACAAATCCTTTAACAAATCAAAGCTATTGGTAAAAATCACAACAGTATAACAGTTATAGAAAATATTCGAAAAAGAAAACATTCTACTGATAAAATTGTCTACATCAGGGATTTGAAAGTTGATATTTCATATCTACAGTTTCACCAGAACTCTATAATATTGACCAAAACATAATTTCTTACAGCTTCTACAAGCTTAACACTTGGTCTGCATTACTCAGGTTTTTTTTTTTCTTATACACTCTAATATGAGTAAAAAAAAGACAATTACAAAACAGAACCACATCAAACACCACTCAGAAAAATGATCACTTATGACTGTCATGTACTTCTAACAAATTTCCACTCACTTCCAGAATTTCAACTATCAGGTAATAAATTGATATTTATAATTCTGCATACATCGTTCTAACCACATATCTTCAACTAATAAATATCATCTCTCTTTATACAAAATAAAGCATGAAATGGTTAGGCATGAGAATTTTTCACTAAAGCCACAATAATGTTAATTCAACTGTAATTTTCAACAAGCTTTAAATGTAATTCGGTACAAAAGCATTTCATGAATCATGATATGAAATAACTAAATATTTAATATTTTTGTGGATAGAGAAGTCCAATTAAATGGCTCTAAACAAAAATATATGCATACATTACAAAATTACAGGAAAGTTATATTTTTATGAATTTGCATTAACCAATACAGTTTCTAACTAACTTTAGAATATTCTTGCTAAAAATTTAAATACAGCTAAAATAAACACACTGTAGGATAAATGCATCATCAGTTTTGTTTAATGAAAAAAGTGGAATATCTTTCTAAAACAAATACTTAGTACAGTATAAGCAGTCATTAAGATAATAATCATAAAGCGCTAAAAGTAAAAATTATGTCTATCACATAGTACTAACCTAATATACCATTCATAAGACCCTGATTTAGCAAATCTGGTGGTTGTAATCCAGAAAACAGCTACATCTCATTTTCTTGTCAACTGATACAGAAACAGATTTCATAACCACAAAAAAATTTAATTAAATTATAACTCAAAAACAACTGAATGCAAATAACTTACTTCAGTTGTGACAGTATTAGTCTTCACATACCAATAACAAATCACCACATGACAAATTCATTTGAACTGTCTTACACAAAAATGTCTTAATACCAAAATACACAATTCCATATTAAAATACTAAATGCATTACATCCAGCTCTTCACTTCAATGGCAATTAATGTAATTGTTTTATTTTCTGTATTTTAACTAAAACTTACTTACAATAACTAATGTTGATATAACTTAAGAAATTAAACTACAAAATATGGTGAAATTATTAATACACTTAAATACATGTACTTTTAAAAGTTAGAATTATTTTTTGTATGCTACAACTACAAGTAATAAATTATACTCGGCATATACTTAACTATTAGTTGCTTAAGGTTACTATCATTATCAATTATCACACAACTTTTATAGGCTATCGTTTGCACAATCTTATATTTCTATAAGTTATATTATCTAACTTTCATTCGCATGATTCAGCTTTTTTCGAGTCTCATCACGTGTGTCAAGAATGTAAACAATTATCAGGTTTTAATCAAAAGTACTTATAAAGTTATATTAAAACTTATTCTCTGTATTAAATGATGCATATAATTTGAATAACAGCTAATGTCAGGATTAAATAATAAATTAGACAAATTTGGATCATGAAAAGGGACAATAACTTAAAATTTAAGATAAATTAAAAGTCAAACTTCATTATGACACGCGATAATGATTGACCACTTTACTCTTTATATTTAATAGTTTAGAACATTAACGACTCTTAAACTTAAACATAAAAGTTAAACTTTAAAGTATGTCTAACGATAGGTTCTACAGATTTATAAATTACACAAATTTACACTGGTCAAGGCTACACTAAAGCTCTATACGTAAATTGGCTCTATTGAAGATGAATAATTAACTTAAATTATAATGAGAAAATTAGTTATGGCTTATGCACAACCTAGTACTACGTAGCATAGTACTGCTACTATATAGTGTAGAGTAGTACTTGAAAGACAGTGAGTAATGAACCGAAATAAAATGTGACACTATACTAAGCCAACGACAACGAGCGATAAATTTAGTTACTCACCCCAAATGTTATATTTTGAAGTTGAAAAATTTTCAGTTCAATTTAGGAAAACGCTTGTTAATATAAACTATCAATGATACACAAAACTACGTCGAGATAACGTAAAATGAATAAGAATTTTAGGCCTAGTACTTACGATCGCTTCTCGTAAATACACGAGTAAAGACTAAACTACTTCTCCTCTCTAACCCGCCGACGTCGAAGTTCTTGTATCCAATGGATTGGTGCAAAATCTCTGAGGTCTCGACTACTTTATGAGAGCTAGGGGTGATAGTTTTGTTCGAATAAACTAGTGCCGTTTCTGTTTTAACTAACCCGCTAACCATCGATAACTTATCTTCAACAAATAATCTATCAGTCAGCTACTTACAGAAATGATAACAATTTTCTATGCTATAATGCCACCTATTTATTTTTCATGGTTATTGCAAAATATTAATATTGATTGTAAACAAATTATACTGTTCCTCAGTGAGTGAAACATATTCAAAGATTTCGAGAAACCGGTAATGTGACACAATTTGTCATTTTCAAACCTGGAAGTCATCGAATACTACATAGGGGCGAAACGGCCAGGTCAGAGACCTCAAAGTTTAGGCACAGCCATTCTTAATTTAGAACTGCTAACCAAAGGGAGACCAACCATAAAGCAGCATCCGCCACAGATCCTTTTAACCGAGTAGCGGGATCCACTGTCACAGTTATATCGGCACCACAGCTAAAAGTAAGGAGATTGTACAGCAGCATACCGCGGTTCAAACCTTGGACCTTCCCATCCGCATCTCGCTAAACACTATAGGCTACGCCCAGCTCCATCAGAAAGAATAATAATTTCTGATAAGGTTTGTTTGTTTGTAATTAAGCACAAAGTTATACAATGGGATACCTGTGCTCTGTCCACCACGGGTATCGAAACCCGGATTATAGCGTTGTAAGTCCGCAGACATACCACTGTGCCACTGGGGGCTTTTGATAAGGAAAAAGATGATGAAATCGTGACATGTATATTGTTATTTTTACGATTTACACCTGTATGCATAGTTCCATAATATTTCAATGAATAAATAAGAGGGAAGAATTATCGTAACTAAGTTATTTTTATTTTGCAACATGGCGGGCCCACTAACTACAGCCATGCTCTTGTTATGTATGATTATGCACTGGGCTTTCAACTAAGTTATTTCAATACTGACAATGTCTTATGAAATTAATTAGAAATAAGTCTTCGGTATTTATTGTAAAAAAGTACAAACAGTTCGTATTTTCCTATTTTTTTTATATATTGAATTATTTATTATTGTTGTTAGTATTTATGTTGTTTAGTTAGAGTCTACACCAGTCGTTTATTGCAACTATGAAGTAATGTCATCCTGTTTCTAATAAATAAGAAGAAATAGAAAAAGGTTGGACCTCCTATAGCGATGTGGCAAATTAACCCTAATCGTTAAGTCTAGGCTTACTGCTGTTCAGTATCTCATAATCTGGAATGGTATATACATATTTGTCACACTTTTTTCTCTCGCAGAAATAGTCAACTGATCATATTGTTGAGTTATTTCATTATTCTACCTGAAGAAAAATTGGAGGCATTGTCGTGGCTTGTTTTCGTTTAAAATATTTCATATATTTCTATAGACAGCGCCGACTTTCCAAAGAATGATGTAAAAATGGTTATATTAATACAACTTCAACGACCAGCTTATGTCACCCTCAGTTAGATTCTTGGTTTATAATAGGATATGCCTCTGGACACTTCTTAGAATAATCCTCACAAACTAAATATATCTATTTCAGCTAATGATATCTGATAACCAGTCCAGTGGATGCATTACACGATATCAAATTGTGAATCTCAAAGCAACATTTTCTACAATATTTTCCGCTAACAACACGAACGACATTCAAGTCAGTAAAGTCTTTTACAGTCTTTTCTAACAAATATATATATATATATATATATGTAAAATGTCAAGCTGTCACAAGATGTTTCTGACTGGCCATTCTTGATAGTGTTAAGTATAAAATGCTTTACTTTTACATTTTGCTTTTTTTTTACACAGATTAAACGAAAGATTATTTATTGTTTGTCAAAATGTCTTCTTACTTTATTTCTGACTTATTTAATGATAGCCACAACATTATAGTTCTCAACCAGAAAATCCTGAGTTATTTACTTTTATCATTTCAACTCATTATTATCATTTAAACAAAGTTCTGTGAATTCAGCTTGTTTTCCTCTAAGAAACCATGTTACTTATCCATGCGTTATAAGCATTCATCTCTTAGCATGACAACCGATATATAGTAAATTAGTGTTTATTTACTAAATATTACGAACACAGAGATCCACTTCCTCATGAACCATATTCACTACACTTCAGTTTGACCAAGATTTCTGATGGTAAACGTTTGGTCATTAATTTACCTTTAACCAAAACTTTACTACTACTTGTAACATGTATCAATTCGTTACTTACTTCAACTGTGAAAACAATGTGTTACGTCTCCGTTCGTTAGTTGATTTTCCGTAACTTCGTTCCGACGAAACTTTAGCGACACAAGTCCTTACTTAATAAAACTGGTTTATTCTTTCCGAATACAACTTTACGATACACTTAATTTCAACAGTCGCTCTATAACAACACTATAATTCACGTCTCACGAGGCCAACAATATTTTGTCCGCATACATTCAACTACTCATTACACTGTTGTCCCGTCACGTTGTGACCATCTTATATATACCACGCTACCCCCAATCTAGTAATCTCCCGAAGATTCGAGAAAGAAGTGGCGTGATACTAGTCACGTGACCTCGCTGACGCAACAAATGTTTCTTACTGGGGTTTTTTTTTCTTCCCAATTTGCATTTTAGAGATATTGTCTGACGAAAAATAATGATAGCTTTAAATTCGGGGATAATCTTTGTTTGAAATGGTCTTTCATTTATGGCTCTATTAATAACTGAAACTTCTCAGTTTCATTCATTAAAGCTGAAGTTTACTGTTTATATTCAGCTTACAAGTGTTTCTAGCATGGGTTATACTAATATAACCTCTAAACCTTCTTTAAAACTAGCAAGGAAATAACCCTTTATTCACCAATGACTGTTACCAAGCGTCATATAAACTTTTAAAATACTTAATGTTATTATATTTCAAGATCCAATGTATTTTTTCACCTATACATTGACCATTGTCACTATTACAGATTATTAAAACATTAACCAATAGGTTTGCAAAGCGCAAACTATTTATTTTTCATATATTCTAATGTTTTAACCTAAAATTATTATTATTCGTCAAAATCATTATTACCTTGAAGTTATTTTGATTTATTTCGGCTATACTTAGACAAACTTTAATCCATACGTATCCCTTTTCTTTGCATTTTACATTAGCGTCTACCTATTCGCTTCCTCACATGGTTGAATCTTTTCTAACAACAATATGAAGGTTGTACAGATCATATTTAGATTTTGTTACCACTACTATACTGAACTTTAAGTAATGTGTATTGTTTGCCAAAAGGTACTTTACAGGTTGTAATTACCTATGACAATGTATTTTGATTATCTTTGGAAGTTCACACATTGATACACTGCTGTCGTTAAAAAAGCAATAAACACCGCTTGTTTGTTATTCACATCAAAGAGCTTCTTGCATTACCGACCGTGTCATAATAACAATGTTATCACTAAGTTTTCATTGATTTATCGGAAGCGTCGTGGCTGGTAACTATTTTAGAGAATTACGATGTGGAACAGACGATTCGTGCATTTCTCATACAATTAAATTCACAACCTCTTTTCCAGACTTTCGTGTCCTGTAGCACCTGTCGTGACGTAATAACCTCAAAGAATTGTTTCTAAAGTTCATGACTAGAAATTACCACCATGCGAAAACAATTTTATGTAAATGAAAAAGTATGATCATATATGTGTGTGTGTGTGTGTAGTAACGCTATGTTCATCCGTC